ACTATAAGGGACCATAAAATACAGTGAGTAATAAACGTAATATACAATGAAATGTTTTGGTACCTCCTTAATCTCATCGTTCTTTTTACCGTCTTTTCCAGCCGTCCTGGAAAAGAAAAAAAGAATTTGTAAGTACATGTCGAAATAAACTCGCACGCGCCTCAACACACAAAGTGGACGAAAAAAAGGAAAATAGAGTAAAAGCGATTTTTACAAAAATTTTTTTTAAAAATTTATTTAATATACATATTAGCCAACTAATAAATATATATAAATATAAGCATATAAAAATTTTTTAATATTATATATAATGCCATGGAAAATCGAGATGAAACAAAATGTTAACTAGTGTCTTACGTGCAATAGTCATTTAAATGTTCTGGAAATCTTACTCTTCTTCCAGAACGCGCCGTTTTAAGTTTAGTTTCAGATACTGTCAAAGTATCATCGTGCGTGTTGGTTGTCGGATGAGGTATTATTAGCGTCGGAGTCGTGTCGTTCGATTGTACCGAAGGAAAATCGACATGGATATGATCTCCTTCTAAATACGCTGCTTTGGGGCGATCGATGCTGATGCTATCGTTGGTTCCGTCCTTATCGATTATATAGTACTTAGGTTCGCGTTGAAGAACTTTGAAGGATCCTTCGTATGCTGATTCAAAAGGTCGTCGATGCGAGTCTCGACGAATGAACACGTGTGTACTATATCGTAAATCAGGTTGAACAAAAACATCAGTTGATTGAGGTCGAGTGGAAACAGGTTTAACTGAACGCGTTGCGTTTGTAAGCCTGTTCGTGTAGGAGGTTAGATCCATGTTCATTGAAGAGGATGAAGGACCCACGAATTCTCCTGGAAGTCGAAGTTTCGTTCCATAAACGAGTTGAGCCACAGTGTATCCAATGTCAGCTTTCACTGCATTGCAAATACCTAGTAAGACGAGTGGAAGAGCGTCGGTCCGTTGTGAAACGTTTGCAGCTGATAGCGAAGCTTTAAGTTGTCGGTGAAAACGTTCTACCAACCCGTTTGCTTGTGGGTGGTAGGCAGTCGTTCGGAAGTGAGTGATTCCCAAAAGTGTGATCAGACAACGGAAAAGTTCAGACTCGAACTGACGTCCGCGGTCTGTAGTAATAGTTGAAGGACAACCGAAGTTTGCTACCCATCGTTTGACGAAGGCGTGGGCCACTGTTTCAGCAATGATGTCCATGATAGGTACTGCTTCTGGCCATCGAGTGAAACGGTCTACACAGGTTAAGAGATAAGAGTATCCATTTGAATCTGGTAAATGTCCTACCGAATCCAGATGAACATGGTTGAATCGAGCATCAGGAGTTCTAAATGGGCCTGAGGGACATTCATTGTGTCTGATGACCTTAGATTTTTGGCAGCTTACACAGCAGCGTGCCCACTCCCTCACGTCTTTATTCATTCCAGGCCAGCAAAACCGTTCTGCTATAAGCTTGATGGTTGCACGAACACCTGGATGAGAAAGTTTGTGCAGCATATCGAAGACATTGCGTCGATAACGTTTCGGCACGATTGGGCGATACCTACCTGGAGATGTGTCACAAAGTAAGGTTTCTTACCTGTTTCCATCTGTATGATGCGCAGCTTGAGAGTTGTAGACGATAAATCGTGCTGAAGATCAGTGTCTACTTTTGAAGCTGGGCGAGTTTAAGAAGGTCGATTCCTTGGAAACTGTTCGAGGAAGTTATTCGAGACAAGGCGTCCGCGACTACTTTGTTTGCTCCAGAAATGTGTTGAATGTCCGGAGTAAACTGCGAAATGTAGTCCAGTTGTCGAGACTCACGGGGAGAGTACTTGTCAGAAGAATAGCTTGAAGAAAAGGTAAGCGGTTTATGGCCAGTGAAAAGGGTAAATTTGCGGCCTTCGATATAGTGTCGAAAATGCCGTACAACACAATACATAGCTAGGAGTTCCCTACCGAATGTGCTACACCTCGATTCGGTGCCTAGCAACCGTCTAGAGAAAAATGCCAAAGGTTGCCAGGAGTTGTTAACCCATTGTTGTAAGACTCCTCCGATTGCTGAGTCGGATGCGCCTACCGCGATACTAATGGGTGCTTGAGTGTCTTGATGTGCAAGCATTGTTGCTTGATCGATGAGTTCCTTAGCTGTGGAGAATGCTTTTCGCGCGGTGTCGTCCAGCTTGATGGATTTCGCATTTTCACGTAGTTGGTCGGTTAGCGGTTTTATAAGTAACGCGCATTTCGGTATGAATCATCTATAGAAACTTACAAGGCCGATAAACCTGCGTAATTGCTTGGCGGTGGTCGGTTATGGGCAATCCAGAATGGCCGCCACATTTGTTCTTAGGGGTCGAATGCCTTGAGCACCTATAGTGTGTCCTAGGAAGTCTAACGAGTCAGTTCCGATTTGGCATTTCTGAATGTTTACAGTAATGCCATGTTTTTGTAGTCGGTCGAAAACAAGATCCAGATGCTTGAGATGCGATTCTTTGTCCGGACTTGCTATTGGATAGTCGTCAACATACGCATGTACGAAGTTGAGACCTCGAAAGACATCGTCTTTTAACCTTTGGAAGGTTTGTGCAGCGTTTCTTAGACCAAAAGGCACTCGCGAAAATTCGTAGAGTCCGAAGGGAGTTACGATAGCTGCTTTCGGAATGTCGTCAATGGTCATGGGAATTTGGTTATACAGTTTAACCAAGTCGATTTTCGAAAAGACAGTTGTACCTTTCAACGTAGCTATCAAATCGTGAATGTGAGGCAACGAGTAACGATCGGGAATGGTTGTCGCATTCAATCGCCGATAGTCACCAGTTGAACGCCAATCGTTGCTGTCCCTTTTAGGGACCATGTGCAACGGAGATGCATATGGGCTATTTGACGGTCGTATGATTCCTAAGTCTATCATGTGGTCAAATTCATTTTTGGCCAACCTTAGCTTTTCTGGAGCTAGTCGGCGTGCTTTAGAGAATACAGGTAATCCTGTAGTCGTGATATGATATTTAGCGTTGCTGGTTACACATGGTAACTTCGTTTGCGTTTGGTGTATCCCAGGATACTTATCGAGTGGTGGTTGATAAAATGGGTCTTTCGTGTGCTCAATTGTGACTGGAGATAATCTGCAACCAGAAATAGAAGTTACGCAAACGCATAAATTAGTGTTTACGTCTACTAGCCACCGTTTGTGTGTGTTGATGATTAGATTATGGTGTTGTAAAAGGTCCATATCAATGATTGGCATAGAAACATCTGCAACAACGAAGATCCAGTGAATGGGTTTGCGTGAACCCACGTTGAGGTAAACATACCTTTTGCCATACGTAGCGATAGGCTATCCGTTTGCCGCCTGTAAGTTTAAAGCCGATTCGTGAAGTTGGTCGTTGGAATTCGCTGGGAGAACGCTAACTTCTGTGCCAGTGTCGACGAGGTAGCGAGCTCTTGTTGCCACATCTGTGACGTACAACAGACGGCTATGTTCGCCGGCCACGGTTGCCGTTAACGCGTGCCGGCTTGGAAGTTTCCCGAGTTGTTTTGCGTGTCAGTCGGTTTTGAGTTGGGAAAATTGCAGAGTTTTCTGCAAGTTCTGGAAGACTTTCCATACTGGTTATGATACCAACACAAGTCGGGGTTATCCGTCACTCGTGGTCTAGGGACAGATCGCTCACGTGAAGTGCTTCTACGTGGGTGTGTGATCGCTAACGGTCGTTACGAAAATTGAGATAACGCGTAAGTATATGACATAAATCGGTTATGAGTCTTTTCTTTGGCTAATAAAAACATCGGTATTGGAAGATTTTGTTATTTCTAAAATGCGGTCGGCGGATGCAGCCAGTTCGTCTAAGGCGCTGTTGTGGAACGAGACAAGCACAGATTGCACCTGATGAGAACGTTTGGACGAGAAAAGATGTTTGAACAGGCCATAATCAAAGGTTCTTTGGCCGATAACCTCTCTCATTCGTTCCAACATGTCGACCGCAGAACAGTGTTGCAGGTCGATGTTATTGAGGAGTTGGTCTAACCCTTGTCTGTCGGTTAGATCTCCGCGTTTAGGAATAGAACGTTTCGGCGTTTCGTAAGGTTTAGAAACATCACAAGTAAACATACTAGGTATTACGTACCTGTTGAATTCGTGCGGTATTGCCTTGACTACTGCGAGGAATCGTGCACGTGTGTCGTTCACGCCGTGCTAGGAGAAATCGGCTTCTGCGTAGTAAAACCAGGCTTCGATGTTGTCTGGCCGGAAGGGCATCAGTTGGAACGAAAGTGGGTACAAAGTCTTAAGCTTAAGTACGTTATGTCTGTTCATTCATGATGAAATATGAAATACAAGAATGAATGAAGGAAAAATATATAGATATCGAAGAACATGAAAAAATATCACAATGTATAAAACCAATGAAGATGCCACAAATATTTGGATTTTGACAACGCTTTAACCAGTAACACCTAATATGAAGCGTACACACTAAGCGAGGTCAAATTCAGTTGCGAGTTGGTTCGAAGGTATATTTGATAGGCTATCAATATATCGAGGTTCGTCTGATCTAATCTGGCTAGCGATTGTAGGGATTGTTGAGCACGGCGTTCCCTCCCGTGATCTGGTGCGGATACATGACCGAGCGCCTTCAGCTAGGTGAGTTCATTAAAACCAATGTCGAAAACTTACAGAGCTATTTATTTTGGGGATTTATTTACTGCCACATGACTATCGATTTTCTCATAGAATCATCAACAGATGGAAATTGCTACGTCAAGATGTGATTGAAGCTCCATTTATTAATGCATTTAAAAGAAGGTTGGATCAACTGAGAAACTCATATGGCCAGGATTAACATAGACAACCAAGCCCCTTATCCTCTCCGAAGCGAAACTGCGACTAATATGCAAACTCACAAATAACTAACAAACTGACTAGGAATAGCACGGTAGAGTGGCTAGATAGGTATCCTTTGGACATTTCCAAAGACCCAAGACCGTCTTGAAACAACAAAACAACCCCTTTATACGAGCCACCAGGTATTGGATATTGTATGAAAGCTAAAGTTCAAACGGTAGCGTTGCAATGGTCCGCAAATTAAAGTATCACGAACGAAAATTGCTAAAGAAGGTCGACTTTATTAACTGGGAATGTGACAATAACTTACATGAAGTTAAAATTATGCGACTGTTTCACGTCCAGAAACGCGAAGACTACACACTGTAAGCCTTGATTAGTTTTCTCAACGTTAATGTCGACTTGATGTGTACAAACTTAAAGAAAACAAGTATTGGCAGTTGACTTATGACTCGTTATTTCGACTTCTTGGTTTGCAACCGTCGCTTCTCGATAAACATCTTTATTCGAAGATCATTGTATCGTTTACGAAGTGAAGGATTTGAACAAGAGATATATTAGGTTAACTCTTCAGTAATAAGGATAGTAGGTTGGTGAACCTGTATTAATCCTGACACATTGCTTTCAAGTGAAGGTCCAGCTTCTCCTTGAAAGTATTCACTGATGGGGCTGATACCACTTGTTCGGGTAAGGCGTTCCAGAGATTGACTACTCGATAAGAAAAACGGGACCCCATTTTAAGTTTATTAGATCTTGGTTTATGAACCTTCTTGCTATGACCTCGGAGATTATTAGTGCTGGAGGAAGCAAAAAATAAGACATATTAACACCCAAATCATAATTAAAGATACGAAATGCCAGTATAAGGTCACCTCGTGTCCTACGATACGACAAAATTCGTAACCACAACTCACTGGATCGATGCTCCTTGTAAAACAAGGAACTGGTCGTGGTACTGAGTGGTTTTTGTCTAAAATAGTGGATGTTTCGGTGTTCTGATACGTTTCCGGTTAAAAAAACGTCCTTATATTCAGCACTACTGCTTAATGTCAACAGGCATAATTATTGATTAAGCTCCTCATTTCCGGCTCTATGCATCTTGAAATTGACTACTAGATTAAAAAGTTTCCAATTATTTCATAGTGTCGGTGTGTTGCTTTTCAGTTACTTTAGTATGTCACACTCACTAGATCTACATATAGTTACCTTAGCCATAAGAAGGGCTTCATCTCTATTTCGTTCTCGACCTCACCTCCCTGGTCTGATTAACTTCATACAGCTAAATTCAAACCCCTTTCGTTATTTTTTATTTAGTCTTACTTGAAGTTATTGTCCCCCTGATGTGATGTGAAGATTTCTTTCACCGTGGATACAATGTTGATGATTGCCAGGTTATTATTGTAAGCTAATACCGGTGGAGGAACGACTTTGCCATACTAAGTAATTACAGTACGCTGCATAAATTTTTCAAACTGAGGCTTACTTGAGTTACATTTATCACCATTAACAACTAGGTGGTTATTAATAACAACCAGATGAAGGGAATATGTTGTAGTAATTGTAATACTAAGTACGTCTTTTATCTCAATATATCCTATTATTTAGTAAGTTCACAATGAAGTGGTAAATGAGCGAGTGAATTATCAAAAGCTACTGTGTTTTTTTTTTAGTTTTCTGTGGTACCAAGTTCGCAACGAATGATAGCTGTCATCCATAGTGGATGTTGCTCTTGTATCTAACCATATCTTGACAATTTTATGTCTGCGATTCATCTGCTTTATAAATATACAGAATTCTAGCTTTAGTTATTAGTCTACTTAAACTGTCGAATGTCATATCTCAACACCAGACATAAGGTCCAATATGTTCACTTACTTAAGTTTGGTGCTCCTCTTGGGGCATAAGCTGCCTACCAGGGATCTTCAAGTGGTTCTGTCCTGATTTCCTTACCAGTTGTCGCCTAGTTGTGTTTTTATTCTTGATGCTTGCTACTAATTCCTGGGAGAACGCACTTCCTGATCTACCTCTTTCTCTTTTGTCTTGAGGACTCCAAGTCTGGCCTTGCTTTGTGGTACAGTTTAATAATTTGTTCATAATGTGCCTCACCTACATCCAGCGTCTTTTTCCTAATTTCTCCCTCAGCCAGTTTATTCCGTGACTCAGTTATTCCTGATAGTGTCTGGCCAGTGTATTTGAAGTATCTTATACAGTCACCTGATTATTAATCTCTGTACATTTTTTGATGATGGTGGTGCTATTCCTCTGCGTTTTAACCCCATATAGTAGAACTTTTAACATCAATGTCGAAAATTCTAATTTTGGGGTTCTATGACTGTTGTTTCGGGTTTCAGATATTCTTCAGTCGTATGAAAGTCTCCTTCGCTTTGCCAATTCATGCCTTGATATTTGATCAGATCCTCCCTGTGTATCGATGGTGCCTCCTAAATACGTAGAGTTCCTTTTCTTCCAGAGCTCCCCCCACCAAGTGAGAATTGATTGGGGCTCGCCGTGTTGTATTCCAGGACCTTGTTTCTCCCCCTATGGATGTTGAAACCTACTATTGCCGAAATAGCTAATATGCTGGCTATCTTTTGTATTTGTTGTTTTGTATGCAATAGTAGTGCTGTCATTCGCAAAGTCCAAGTCATCCAACTGTGTCTAAGGCGTCTACTGTATTCCGTGCTTTTCCTGAGGTGTGGTTTTCATGATCTAGTCAACGGCTAGTAGAAAAAGAAAAGATGAAAGAAGATATTTTTCTTTGACACCATTTTTTATTTGGATCTGTAAGCTATCTTCCATACGCGACTTTGAATTGTAGTCCTTGGTAAAAGTTCCGTATGATGCCGATAATCTTTTCACTCACTTCATAATGTTGAAGAAAATTATACAAGGTCTTCCTATCTATGTTGTCGGATTTTTTCATAGTAAAGGAAGTTTACATAAAGCAGTGAGTTCCATTCAGTTGAGTTTTAAACAACGACCCTCCATGTCGCGATTCGTCCGATACATGGTTGATCCAGCCCGTTGATCTCGAGGTTGCGCGTCTGCCGGATCTTTCATTCGGTTCAGCAACGCTGTTGAAAACCTTGCCTGGTACTGACAGTAGCGTGATAGCTCCGTAGTTCTCACACTTACTAGGATGTTTAGATGAGACATCCCTCCCTCTAGTCCACTGGTACTCGCTCCTTTCAAGTCTTTCTGAAGAGAACGTGGGACATCTTTACTGATACCTCAATATCTAACTTCAGCACCTCAACTGGTGTGTTGTCTGGTCCTACTACTTTCCGATTCATGATTCGTGTAATGGTCTTGCTAAATTTTTATATTGTTAGTGTGGTACTATCTATGTGTGTTGCCTCAACTTCCGGTCGGTTTAGCGGTGCTGGTTTATTCAAGAGCTCTTCAAATGCTGTGGCGACTGGTCCTGTTGCTCATTAACTTCAGCCATTGTTTTCCCTCTTTTTCTCTTGACTTCTTGCTCTGGTCTACCATATATTCCTGCTAGCTTATTGCTTGTATCATACGGTCCTTTCATATTTCCTTCCCTTGCAGCTTTTTTTCTGTATTTACCAGTTCTTCAACATACTTCCGACTCAGCTTTAATACTCTTCTTCACTCCTGTTTGCTTCTGTATATTCAACCTGTGTCTTTTTTTGTTAGCTTTGATTTCTATCTTCGTGTTTTCGTTTTCTTGAATCCTTTCCAGGCTGTCTAAATAGACCCATCCTTTATTCTGGTGCTTCTTGGGACTCAGCGTTTGGTACGTCAAAGTTATTGCTTCTTTAATCCCTTTCTAGTGTTTTTCAGTATTTTCCTCTTGCAGTAGATCTTATAAGGCTTCATCTTCCACGGTGTGGGCAGCCGGGAAGTGACATCAGCCCTCATACCCGTAACAGCACAAGAGACCAAGGTGGTCACATTCAAATCCTTCCTACACCTCCTAATACCTCTCTTATCCTCCCGACTGATAAGGCTTCAAACTGGTTGGTGGGACCTATCTAGAACTCGTTGAACTTGTTAGTAACTCGAAGAAAGGCCATATCAAACTTTTGTAACACTGATTCTCCAACTGTTTATTGCATCTTTAACTTTAGTTTTAGCTTGGCTACCATCAGATAATGATCTGAAAATACATCAACTCCTCCCTTTGTTCTTGCATCTTCGATGGACCTGAAGTTTTTACTTATACACATATGGTTGATATGGTCTAGCGAAACTCAAGCAGCTCTGTGTATGTATTTGTCGGGAAATGTTACCATCTATAACTATGCTGTTAAAACCAAGTGAATATACCAGCCTCTCAGCATTCTCGTTTCTTTCTCATAATCCATATCGCCCGATAATGAGTCCATACCTGGTGTTTCCTATCCCGACTTTGGCGTTTAGTTTTCCCGTCAGAAATATCAAGTATTTTCCTGGGTTTTCCCTAGGATAGGTTAGCCTGTCATAAAACGCATTTATTAACTTCACTTTCATGATTGGTGAGTGCGTAGCCATGTACGATATCCATTGTAACCTCTTTCCTTTAAAGGGTGCTTCAGTAATCTTGAAGTTACAAGTTTTTAATCTGATAAGTTCTTTGGAGAACAGCGTGTAGGGTTCTTTCATCTTCATAATCAATAATATTTTTTCCGAAGCTAGTCTTCCCTGTCTAGATCTTTCCCAATGGGTCTCAGTTATTCCAAGCATATCTCATGTTGTGTCTTTCCATTTCTGCGGTTATTTGAATGATCCTCCCACATTGGATGGACATTCATTGTGCCTATGTTTGTTGTTTTCCTTTTTGTCAGAGGAGGAATTAGCCTTAGGGCTTCCAGCAAATGTAATGTTGTTTCCCTAGTTGTCCAATGCTTCTTCAGCTTTAGTTTCATCTTGGCAACCACCAGGTGGTGATCTGAAGCTACGTCAGTTCTTCTCTTGTTTCTCACACTTTCAACTGACCTTCTGAATTTTTTTAGTGATGAAGATATGGTCGATCTGGTTCTCTATAGTGTGATCCGGTGAGACCCACCTAGTTTTGTGTATGCTTTCGTGTGGGAATATTGTGCCGCCTATAACTACTTAGTTGAATGCACATAAATTTGCAAACCTGTCACCATTTTCGTTCCTTTCCCCATTCAGTTCATGTTATATATATCTCCATACCTGTTGTTCATCCCTATTTCGGCGTTCCGGTCTCCCATCAGGATGGCCAGGTCCTTTCCTGAGCACTTCACCATGATTGATTGCAGCCTCTCACAAGACTGGTCTTTATCGTCCTCGTTGCTATCATTGTTGGGCGCATATCAGTGGGTAATATTCATTGTTATCTCCTCCTTCTTTGTTTTGAAAGATACTTTAAGGATTTTGGATCCACAAGATACCTGTCCTATGAGTGCTTTTTGTACTTCTTTGAACAGCATCAAAGCGACTCCCTGTGTGTGCGGAGCATTTTCTTGGTCATTGTCAGAGTAGAACAACATCTCGTAAATGTATTCTTTCCTGTCTAACTTGAGTCCGGCGCTTTAACCGGGTTGTTGGACACGGAGAGTCCACCTGGTGAAGTTGGAAAACCCTGATATCAAACCATTGGTGTACATGGGCTCCAATATCCTGAAGGAACAAATGGCGTGTGAACCTATTGTTGGTCACCGGCTACCATGGGACTGCATCTGCTGACGTTGCTCCACTGCCTTGTGGATCAGACCTTGAGGTCGAAGGCTCCGGATGTGACCCCCTAAGCAAACCACCCACTTCGGTTTGGGCAGTATCCCAGCCCTTGCACAAATCGAATGACTTATGTGACGCATATCTATTTGGTGCCTCTTTGTACCAATGTTTATGTGTTTAAATAAATAAAATAAATAGTCTGAGAATCACCAAGTTGTATCTCCTTATTTTCACAGTTATTCGACTGTTCCTACCGGTCTCCCATACTATCCGGACATTCTGTGTACCTATAAAAACTGTTGCTCTGGTTGTTAAAAAGGACGTCGGCTTCGTTACCTTCAAAGAATCTCGGTTTTCACCATGAGGCATCACCATTCTTGTAAATGAAGATCCTTCAACTTCCCGGCAAGAGCTTAGATGTTTTATTCTAGTTTTTCGGATATAACCACCACTTAAAACTATGACGATCACATTATGCTGACCAAAAATGTTCTTGACAAGTATATGTGTGATCAGATTGTTCGAAATGTATTGCGCAAATATATCACATAATTCTGATAAACTACGTCTTCTCATTACATTATCGATATTAAAATATGTTCTCCAAATCCAGTTTCTCAATCGTGTTATCCGAATGATACAGCTAATTCATGTAACATCTGCGATCCTAATAAAATTCTCTCTATTGACTGGTAATGAGATGGTGGAGAACATTCGCATCTCAAGGTGACAGTTTTGAAGATTATGGTTTCTCTGAGCTGGATAGCTTAATCATGAAGCTTTCATTGTCTTTCTCAACAAACCAATATAAACCCAGTTTAAGACAAAATGACCTACTAGATTTTCTGGGCAACTGACTAGCACCTTGCACTGTTGACCTAAGATTTAGATGGTCTTTGTCCACATCTATGTGCTGATGATAATTCAGAGAGAAACAATCAGTTTCTTGATTAAACCATGCAGCTCAGAGAACACGACACATCCGAAAATTCACTGATAATATTTTCAAATGATCAAACTTTGTTTAACCATTTTCAAAGAATATTATTGACATCTTTAGTTTTGTGGTGTACAATTTCGGATTATTTTAGAATATGAAGTGATGATTATCATATATTAGTAAATGTGTCAGGTAGATTCTATTTTTAAAAGTATCCTTTATTCTTTTGTCATAGTTACAATAAACTCTCTCGAAAAATCAGAGAAATTGCGGAAAAACTTAAGAATATCAATGAAAACGATCCTTGGAGGGCAGAAATGACTGAACTACTGACAGCAAAGTTGTATGTCATCATTTTTAAGTGTAATAATTATAAAGACACAACTTAGGTTTGATACCAACAAAAAGGAGTCTTATGTTAGCGTCGAAAGTCAATGCCTCTTCATTTTGTCGAAGACGGCTTTCAGTTATTGTAATGCGTTCAAAAATGGCAGAAACAATGAAAGCAGCTGTGACATTTGTTGAGCAAGGACATGTTCGTGTGGGCCCAGATATCATACGAGACCCAGCATATCTAGTTACAAGGTTTGTTACTGACCTAAACCTTTTATCTTACGTTAAGTTCAATAGTAAACTGTTGTTTTTGAGATGCAGAAAACTGTCTCAGAGATTCTTTGTACCTGTCTTGTATTATTTCGAAGGATTCACAGAGATTATCTGCAAACAGGCTGCAGCTTGCTACAAGATATATGAAAATTTTCCTGGTTATGAACTTCGGTTAAGCGAATACATATGAATATATTTTTCCAATATATCTAACATTAACTGTATGATTGAAGATTCAGTCAGTTGTAAGCAACACAGAAACTGGCACATATCTGTTCAAGTTGCCACACATATGCATAATAAGATGAGTACTAAAGTAGTAAATGTAGCAGTAGTGACGGTGAAAAAAAAATAGATATAGAGAATATAATTCGCGAAAAATGAATGACTTTGCAGAACGAAAGGTTTAAAATAGTTTGAGGACTCAATCTAGGAGAAAGACGTAGTATAAACTCGTCGACGATGTTGCTGTCAGTTCTGAGTTAAGTCACCAGCCACTAGTCACAATGATCACTTGAACCCCAGACAGGTGGTCTACATTTCCAGAAAAAGGCTCAATCTAAAATTCAGTGGCCTTATGGACCTATAACATGTCTTAGTCTGGCTACCCTTAGTTTTCTTCCAGCCAATTGTTATGCCTATGATTAACTATTTGAATTGTATTTGTAATAAGAACTGATTACGATACTGTTAGTTTTCTACTGTATACCTTAAACAACATAATACATCTAGCTGAATGAGATTTGTATGGGTTGTGATCTCTACCTGGACCATAGATTTTTATAATTTTTCTCTCTTATTAGTCCATTAGTACTGTCATCTTATTTCCTATGAATCGTTTGTGGGTGCCCTGTTGTACCACGTATTTGGTCATGAGAAAAAAGACATTTCATGTATCAAATCACATTATTGCTGTAGTCATTACTGACGAATCCCAAGCATTGAATCGTGTGGCTAACATGTTAGTCCGTTTTTATTTCCAAATTTGCCGGCAGATCTATGGAAGACTATATAACTTGGGGATCTCGATCGAAAATTCATAAACGAATTGAGGATTATAATGGATTGCGAGATGATTATGATGATGTGTGACAAATTGTGAGTATATAGTACTATACATAAATCATTATGACTACAAGTTATATATTTTCTTGGAATATATAATTGAAATTACTCCTTCGAAAATTCTTGAGTTTTTACTGCAGATTCATGCCAAGTTCGCTATTTCGGACGTAAGAAATACAAAGGTCTTACCGCCATCCGACAAAATTACCAACACACTGTCGCTCAAATCTGTAAATTTTCGTGAACTCTTTGACTTGTGTAATCTTTATAGTGTAGTGTAGGTGATCGTAATATAATGAACGACATATTTCGCAGTTTTAGCCTGTTAAACCGTTTTTTAGATCAAATGGATGTCTTTCATAATTTATAAGCTCGGAAAAAGTCTGAATGACTTGAGTGAAATTCAGATCCTTCGGAATTTTCTCTGTGAATTTTGGAGATATCATTAATCAACCTTTGAAGTCTAATGACTTCTTACTAGCCATTTTTCATCGCTTCAGATTAGCCATGGCTTTTTGAACTTCAATTAGAGTCGGTGGGCCTATTTCAATGTCCCATTCAAGCTGTTTGGGAATGGTGATTAGCTGAATAACAGCTGAACTGCTCCTTAAATTGTTCCGCTCATCATCCCAAACCTCTAACTTGAGAGCAGATGAGTGCAGTCTTTTTCTGAGATTGACAGTTGACTTATTAGTCCCTGTTTCCTTTATTAGTCTGAAAAGCTGATTGGTGTTACCTACAGCTGCTGCTTTCTCCATATTTTTTCGCTTTTGTTGCTCACCACTGCTCACGATCGTTTCGCAAACTCTTGGTTATTCTAGATCTGGTTTGTTTTCGCTCTTCATTGTGTTCGGAGCCTGATGGGATAAGTTTAAGAGGGTCTATCAGCGCAATAGATGTCACAAAAACCCACTGGTTTTTCGTAACCCTTTGGTTCACATCAGTAATAGATGTCACTGCTGTTTCCACAGACGTTTGTATATCTTTTCAAGCAACATCTAGGCCAGCCTCCTTTTCAGAACTGTCTAAGTATGATCTCAGTTGTTCCTAGAATCTACTTTTGACTTTCTCGTCACTAAGTCCAACTACAATGGGTCTTCTTAATGTGGCTTTTCTGCGTCCAGTGAAGCACAAGCAAATGCTTGCTTGTATTAGAACATGATCAGAGTTTAAACATATATTCTACAACGAGCGGCAGTCATCTATCGAGCCTCTCCAACGATGACTGATGGCAATATGGTCTATTTGAGCCTATCGTCACCACTTTAGATGATGTCTCTCATGCTGAAAAGTAGTGCTCGCTAAAAATAAACGATTGTCTGAGCACAGCAGACAGTCGCTATTACCAAAATATCTACCTAAATGTCTAACTGTTTTGCTTAAGGTACCTACTGGGCATTAAAGCCAACTGCTACGAGTACCATGTCCAAGTGTTTAGCTTTTTAAAGAAGTTCAGAAAGCCTTCTGTAAAAAATCATTTTTCACTTCATCCAGGTTGCAGTCGGTAGGAGCAGAACAGAACATAGGCGACCGTTAATAGGGATCCATCCCAAAGTGCTTGTCCCGCCCTCACGGTTAGTGCTGTGCTTACACCCGCCGAGTCACCAGATAAACAGGTGTATTTCGTCGGATCTCTGTTTTGACTACGTGAGGTCAAGTGAATGATCACACTAGGATCCTGTATGTATGTTTTGGAGACAGCATACATCAATGGTACGAGATTCTAGGTTCTTAGCCAAGGAGGTCTACTGGTCGATTTAACAGGGTTCGTACGTTGAAATCTCCAATGTGTAGTTTAGAGCGAGATTTTAGTAGAAGGGAAAGACGTTTGCGTACTAAAACCGCTAGCCATGGTGACACCTGAGGAGGAAGTTTAGGGTTGATAATCGAGGTAGGAAGAATAACAGGAATCGAATAAGGGAAGTTTATTGTGAATACAGTGGTCTTGAGTACTGTTAGAGGTAGATACAAAACGGATGTGGCAATTTTACTCAAGGTTGACTCTCTTTATGACAATGATAGCAAAATGGTCACTGAAAGAATAACTTTAGTTACCTCTCCTATAGTTGAAATCAGCCCAGCTCAACTTTCTAGCTTACAATTATCAGGGTTTTAGAATTTTATTTAGTTGAACACATAAACATTAGTACAAGGGGGCACCAAATACATATGCACCACAGAATAACAATGAGGTTTTGAAGAGATAGAGAATGTAAAGTGCGTATAATAAAGTGGCAACAACAACGGACGGAAATTAATGTATGAGAGTGGGATATATAATAATGGGAGAAACACTTCAGTTAGCAAAAATATAACCAGAAATGATTCTTTCAATTAAAGAAGTTACGTTCATTTTTTATGAGGAAAGTTGCAGTAGTATCGCCACTGGCTTTTATTCTGAGCCATGTCTGATAACGTCTCTAGCCACTGTGTTGCACCATCTCTAGGATCCCAAGCAGGAAGTCGTGGAGGACCGACATAAGCCAATCTTGTACAGTTTTCACATCAGGACATCATGTCATACACTGACCACCTCTCCGCTTTTTCTAGTCAGTCCCGGCGACGGTAAGTAATGCACGATGTGGAAATCTCTGGATGATATTCTTGATACATGTCCAAGCCACCGAAGTCGATGTTTCAAGATGGTAATACCAACTGAATTATCGTCGCTATGCCCGAAAACACGATGCTAAACCTCAGCATTACTAACATAGTGTTGCCACTGGATGTCAGCAATCCTTCGGAGACAACGATGGTCAAACACAGAGTCGTCTAACATCCTCAACTCAGAGAAGCCAGGTTTCACGAGCACAAAGCAAAACTGCTCTCATCGACGCGTTGTAGATCCGACTTTTCACAGCCAGAATAACATTACGGAGGCGCCAAAAATGGTCCAGATTAGAATGACCCGCTCTGGCCTTCACTATACGTGAGTTGATCTCTACTTAAGCCACCATCATCACGTATGCAGCTACCCAGACATCTCGACTACTTCTATCCGCTCACTATCCAGCGCGATTGCAGGATCAGGACGCTGTCAGTCTTGTAAAAGCACTTTTCACTTCGAAGGTGCAAACCATATGCCATACCTACGGATACTAATTGCCAACTGATCCGCATACTCAGGGTTGGAAGGTACTTTTCCGGGCAACAGATTCACACTATTACCTACATGCATCACAGCTTTTTTCAGAACGTCACCAATGACAAAGTCGAGGAGGAATGGTGAGATTGGGTAACCCTGTTTAACACCACTGCTTGAAAGGAACAATGGAGAGAAGTGGTTGTATGCCCTCACTCTGCCTGAGGTGTTTGTATATGGGGCTTTCAAGATCCTAATAAACTCAGGCACACTCTTCTTCAACAGACAATCCCAGAAAACAGTTCAACGAATCGAAGGCGGCCATAATGTCAAGAAGCACTACGATTTTTCGGCTGTAATAAGCATGACGGCATTCCAACATTTGGCGGAGGATGGAGATACGATCAATACATTCTCAACCAGAACAGAAACCAGCCCGCTCCTCGTGGGTCAATCTTTCCCCGATTTTGAACAATCTACGAAGCTAATAATCTGGACGTAATCAAAAGTAGGCTTACCCCACGGCAGTTGTTGCATAGGTAACGTAAACTGTTTTCAAGGATAGGGACGACTGTCGGCTCATTCCAGGAGGTTGGGACACTTCCTAATTTTCAAAATTTTGCAAACAACTCAGTTCAATAACCAGCCATTATCTATAGAAGGGCATGAGTCAAGTTATCTGGACCTGGTGACATGTGGCGCTTAAGGGGTTGGATTTCCGACTCGTTAGGTGGATCAGTAGTCACAGGCCATGGAGGACAGGACAGTCTGATTGATGTTGCCGGGGCAACAGACCAGTTGAACTGTTTCTCGAAAAACGGCCGACCGTTCAATACGTCGGTAGATGTTATTGATTGGCATCTTATCATTTTTGCAGATTGTTTCACTCACACCAGACTTGCGGCCAGTGACTCGGATGAGTTGAAAGGGCTTCCGGCAGTTACCAGATGTGGCTGCTGCTACCAACTCATTGGCACACTCTAGCCACCAGGCTTCTCAGTCCTTACGCAAGCTTTGCCCAATTTCATTGTATAAGCCTTCGTTTTTGGTCAAACTCGCGGTCACCCGGAATAGACCGATGGGTTGTAAGGAGCCTGAAGAAACCCAGTTCTTATAAGTGGGACGTTTCGCAAAGCCGCAAGCGACTTTACTCGCCATGTTCATAGCGTCATGCAATTGCAACCAATGCTCATTTATAATTTTCGGCGGAATGGTTGTAACATAGTGGTTTGTCAATGCACTAAGTTTGCGTTATCAATGGTCTCTCAAGGTTATGGTTCCTGAGTGCTTTTCATCAACTCACTTTTTATTATAGTTTAAGAATAATATATAGGATTTAAAATCGGACAAATACTGGCCAAATGGTTCAGAAAATTAACAGCGAACATTTAGGTTTATTACAAATATAGTAGTATATTATACAACGAAAGAAATTATTCGTAATGGTATTGTTTGCTTTACTGAAATACTTTAAAGCCCCTGAACGCATTCCATATAATTAACTATGTCAGATAACGCACCCTATTGTTCGTTTGCAGTCCTACTACCTATCGTAAAAATAGGCTTTTCACAGGCATTGATTAGTTGGACTAATTGAATTTCAGTTTTTGAAAGCCCAACCGTCAACTAGTTTCACAACAATAGCTATAAGTGATTGTAGGAAGCCGTGAAGATAAATTTAAGGGATTAGTGTATAAACAGCACAAGTTGACTGAGAATCTCTCCAATACTCTTCTTGAAAATAATACAGTTTCCTTAACCCTATCTCTGACTAGTCGAAGTACATCGACCAGAACACTAAGTTAACTTCTAATGATGTCGCTGCCCAAGACCAACAGTCGACAAATATCAGATATGATACTACACTGGTTCAGTCAAAGGGACATTGTGGTCTCAAAGTTTGTCTCCCTTGTGACAAGTCGAGTCCTGTTCCCAGGCATTTGGCAGTTTTCGCATTATACTAGCGGCAAGTCGCCCAGAGATAAGATAAATACTCGTTGGCGTCGTGGTGCATGGCATTCCATCAAATCAAGACATTGTAGTGTAGTGCGTTATAAGGATATCATATCAACAAGACGACCAAATTAATCAGGAAACGAATAAATTCAAGGAGACAAATCAGGTGATCCTTATTTAGTCAACTGTCAACGTATTTTCGTTACATTAACTTATTCAATGTGAATTCTGTTAGTTAAGTTCACAGTCGCCGTTAGTAA